ACTTTTGGAGGCTCGGAAGGTGTTATTCGTAATCAGCTCGTTAAACTGAATCTGAATATGTATAATAAAGTCAAAACAAAATTCCACTTGAATTTTGCATTAGCTGAACCTTATGTTTATTAAATTTTAATGTGGAAGGATTAAGTTCTCATCTAGCTAATGTGGATATTCTACTATCAACGTATACTCCTCAAATAGCTATTCCTACTGGTGTGGGTGCTCTCTTGAGAAAGCTTCCTCTATACCAGGATATCGTTGGCTGATGCAGTCTGGGACGAACAGCTTTCGAGGTGTGGCCGTGCTGGTCCATCACACGCTTCAAACAAAAATTGTCAATACTGACACCAGTTATATTTTATTTGAATTAGATGTAATCCCTAAATCAGCCATGGTTGGTGCTGTATATGTACCTCCAAATTCAAAACCTCCCTTTCATCTTTTTGAATCCTATACTGAGAAAAAATTTTATATCTTTGGTGACTGTAATGCAAAAAAGGTTGAATGGTTTTGCACGAAAAATAATTCAAGTGGGATCCAGTTGAAGGACTGGCTCGATGCGAATGGATATGAGATCCTTGCATCCAAAAAATCTAAGTCCGTTATTGATTTCGGTATCACTAATGATGCGAGCGGATGAAAAATAGAGGTTCTTAGTGGAAGAACATCCGACCACTTTCCTGTGCTCTGTTTTGCACCATTCACTGCATCGCAAACAGGTTGTTTTCGAAAAACTAACTGGAAAATATTTTCGTTTTTTCTTGAACGTGTTTATCCATACCGGAATACATTTGTTTATAATGCAGATGTGCAAATCTTTTTTGACCTATTCTCCTTCTTTCTCTCTTCTTTATGAGATAGATGTAGTGAATACGAGCAGATTAAAAAATACAGATCACCTTGGTCATGCTATCTTGTCACTCTGGCAAGAACAGTTAACTTCTGGAAAAGAAAATATAGAAGAAACCATATGTTAAACGACCATGTCATGTTTCGCCACTGGAAAAGATTTTTTATTGAAGAAAAAATAAAATATCTAGATAAAGTAGAAAGTGAACGGCCTCAGGTGTAAGTAGTTCAATTTCATAAAACATCTATTCATTCAAAGAAAACGGATTCTTAGCTCTAAAGAATTAAAATAGTATTCATGAGCTTTCATCGAAGTAGTTGCAATGCAAATCTGTAATGCGTACCACGTTTGGCAGACGATAGTTTGGATATTCTTTCAGTATATCAATCAATTTATTCTGACTAACAGAACCACATCTAGCCTTCGATATGATTTTCCAACAGGAGACGTAAACGACCAACATTTGGCAATTCTTTTCATAGCTCTTCTCTCATAAATACAATGTTTCCTGCACATCATCTTCAGGATTCTGTATAACAACCTTAAAGAAACAACCAGAGACGACTAAAGATGTTGAAAAGAACGACTCATAAAATTGATTCATTCACTCCGATATACTTACACATAAAATGAGAATTCTTTCTTTATTAGCTCGTGAATAATTGTGAACTCGATATGTAATGTATTTTCTGCAACATGTTCTTCTATTGCAAACATGTCGCACAGCTTCAAGTTCTCAGTCAAATCAACAACAGAGAGTCTCGTGTTGAAGGAGCACAATTATTCCTTTTCCTTTGCTATTATGGAAACTCATGCATTATTCTGGCAATTAGGTACTTTGAATCTAAGAAATGTGCCAGATTGTCTTTCAGACGTCACTTTATCGGTATCAAATGTTGGTCTTCTTTCAACTGTTATTTATTAAAAATCTCAAATGAACAACACAAGTATACTATGAAGACCATGAAGACGTACAATTTTGTGGTACAAATTATTTTTGTCCGCTTTCGCTATTCAAATCTAATATTAATCGTTCCACCGTAAATGAATTTTGTATTAATTTTTCTTGATCAAAATTCATTGATTCTCCACCTAATATTTGTTTTAATTGTTCAATTAATTCTTTCTGCTTCTTTTCACTTAATTTTTGAATAATTTGAATGAGTTGATTTGATGATTGAACTGTTTCTTGTTGAACATCTTTTGGATTTGACTGATCTGAACAAAATTTTTCTTTATTATCTTCAACGATTGCACTTTCCTGTTGAGCTTGATCATTTTTTGCAGACATTGTAAATTTAAATGATGGACTACGAAGAGTTTCAATCAAAAGTTTGATTATTGCGTCATTGTTGCCTGTGCAAAAAGAAGACATTTGACTTGATGAAAATAACGTACTACTGCTACCGAAGTCTGAAACGAAAAGAAATGATTACAACATGTTTCTTTTTATGAGAGACAGAAATCGAGAGGTATAAAAAGAAAAAGAACGAAGAAAACACAATTTCCACACGTTATACAGAAAAGAATGTGTAGAAATAATGCTATCCAGTGCACAGAAGAAAAAGAAAAGCGCAGTGAGTGTACCATAAAAGAAAGGAAATATATAAGAGTCGTTGCTGACTGATGATAATTTAATCAAAACACTTTTTTCTACGCAGACACAATATTAACACTGAAATAGACAGGAAGACAAGCATAAAAAGTTATATTGTGAGCCTATGGAATGTACAAAGCCATCCAGTTCATTTTCAATCAGCAGATAAAAGATATCCTCTATGGGCAAGCGACTTTTCAGAAATTCGTAAAAATGTGGACAATAAAACAATAAATAATTGTGTCTAGAGTCTAATTCTGTGCCTGAAAACTGTCGAGTTAGATTTTCGAAAAATTTACTTTTATCTAATAGATATGTTTTACAACCGCCTATTTGTTACAGCCTTGGAAACTTGGACTGGTTTTTACTACGCGCGCAGTCCTCGAGACTGCCTCTCTGTAACTTTTCACTCAACTCATGTTGAGATTATATACGTAGAACATCACCGAAACAAAACGGTGATAACATTCTAACGTATCTAGAGAAGGACAAACATATTGTCACAATTCTCTATGAATCACGCGAGTTTATTGTGGTTCTCGAGGACTGTGCGCGTAGTAAGAACGAGTCCAAGCCTTGGAAAGTTTCCAAGGCTTGGGCTTTTCTGTAACGAATAGGCGGTTGTAAAACATATCTATTAGTATCAAACAAGTCGAGTTTAAAAAATCAAAATTACTTTTATCTTTTCCAGCTGAAAAGTTCCCTAATTGCCAGAATAATGCATGAGTTTCCATAATAGCAAAGTAAAAGGAATAATTGTGCTCCTCCAACACGAGACTCTCTGTCGTTGATTTGACTGAGAACTTGAAGCGGTATGACATGTTTGCAATAGAAGAACACGTTGCAGAAAGTACATTACATATCGATTTCACTTTTATTCACGAGCTAATAAAGAAAGAACTCTCATTTTATGTGTAAGTATATCGGAGTGAATGAATCAATTTTATGAGTCGTTCTTTTCAACATCTTTAGTCGTCTCTGTCACTCGCGGAGAAATTTTTTAATGAAAACTCATATTTCTTCTTTTATTTACATATTTACTTTGTCTCATCAAAAAATTCTCTTTGGCTTTTGTTTCTTTAATCGAAAGTTAACATTACAAATAATATCTGTATAAAGTTTATATAGTTCTTATCTAAATTTATATTCTGACATGTCAGCTATGAATGAAACAATTTATTTCATGTAAGCAGAATCTCCAAACAAATCATGAATACATACGAAAACAGAAAAAGCAGCTGGCTTGCAATAAAAAGTGCAACCTACACGAAAAAGAATATAACTGTGAAGAGAAGGGAAAGATACAAGTGCAGAAAATAAAAAATGAAAGTGATTTAGGAGAGAAAATGCTTGAAAGGACAAGAACAATAGAAAAAAAAATTAGAAAATTAGGTGCAAGCCGTGCGTGCTGGATCAAACTTAATGAAACTAAGGTGGTATATGCAGGATTTCAAGGCGAATCCGACAGCCGGCTTCGTTTAATTTCATTCTGAGTTCTTGTGGAATCGCCACAGCCTCTGTAATTTTTCATAGTAAATTTTAAGCGTTCGTTCCGTTCTGTCGTCTGTTTTCTTTTCTTTCTTTTCGCACGCACATTTTGTGATCTATATAGCAAACACAAAATGGGTATCAGAACGTCGAGTAACAGATAGAACAAAATATACTCTTAGTTTTAATTTCGTTTCTACATCCTAAAGTTCAAATCAGGCAGAAATAGTGATTGACTCAAATTTTAACATGGAAATATCATCTGTGTCGTTTTTCATATTTTTCCCTAACAAACACAATTGTTCATGTTTTTCACCAAAGAAACAATTTTTATTGATAAAATCTTGCTTTTTTCTAGGTGCGAAATCAAGAATTGGTGGAAAATGAAGCTAGAGGAGCAGAATTCACTAAATAGAACTGAAAAATGAAGCCTAAAGTGATGTGTTCTTCCAGTTTTTCCCAAGCATGATGTTTGTTACGTACGACCTGATTTTTTCTGTTTTTCTTCTCTTTGTTTAGATTATCAAAGGATTTCCGATTAAAACAAGACAGTATAAAAAAAGGTGATATATAGAAAAAACATTAACAATAACAATGGACAGGGAAAAAATATTTCCTTTTTTTTAACAGGCAAGGAAAAAAGGTCCGACGCGAATAGCTAAAGCATATACACACCAAACACCAAACCATTTTTAATCAAAAATACAATCATTTCTGGGGATTTGAATATCGCCTTACAGGAATGGGGTACGCCCTAATCCGACAGTAGAGATAAAAATTTAAAACAGTGGATAGACGGAAATAATTTGGAGTACGTTAAGAACTCTGAAAATTCATTTAAAAGATCGGAGAGAAATAGTTAGCCAGAACTGCCCACTGTGGCCTACTCGAAAACATATTTCCTCTTCTGATGATAGTGATGACAATACCAATTTGAGAACAGAACTAAAGAACCTCCGGGTCCTTGTCGAATTTGCCATAAAACTGGTCATTGGAAACCAGATTGTCGTGCTCCTTGCGTTATTTGTAAGAAAACTGGACATAATGCAAATACCTGTTTTCAAAGACAAGGCAATATTCACCGCAATTTGCCCGCTGGACTCAGTTTTTTCGGTAGTGGTTCTCAAAATCAGCAAAGACCTAATCGTTTAAACTGAAAAGGGAGCAGTACAAGTCATTGGAATCAGAAGAGGGTGTCTCGGGAGGTTCTCTTGGTAGCATGGTTGATCACATATGTTGCATGCAATTTCGTGACCACTTGTAACTATCTGATGCCCTCGCCCAAGATCATCTGGTACCATACTCACGCCCAAATGTCGCGCGCGTCCAAATGTCGGCGCCCAAAGGTCTGGTAATCGAAATATTCAATAAGGAGCATTAGCCGGATAGATAAACGCGTAAAACTAGCACTATGGACAGGGAGGAGGGATGTTATCCGAAATACATATGGATGACTCTAATCGCCGACAAGCATTTAAACCAATTCAATCACATGTTTCGAACAGAAAACCTCTTTCAGCGCATGTTTGTTGCAAAATATGCCTGTTTTGTGAACTTTCTCGTCTGACAGATTCTTTTCTCTCCAGCTGCGACTGTCTTGAAATCGTTCTGATGCCGATAGTCTACGAGGGTAGAGGGAAAAGGTATATGTATGTACGTCCGTCACACTACCACATGACTATATGTATGTACGTCCGTCACACTCACTGGTTACTATATGTATGTACGTCCGTCACATGCGGACGCCGACGCCGACATTTATTTCATATGACCCTAGACTTTCAGTCAAGGGAATTAAAGTGTGCCCGTGGCACGATGAAATTGCACGTCACTTTGGACTGAAAATACCTAGCCTGAAGATATGTAGATGAAGATAGCCTGTCTAGTGTACCCAGAACACACTGAAAATTGCTCATTTAAGCAACTGCACGTCATTTTAGACTCGAAATTAGCCCCGCACCCTCGACGTATTTTGTTGCGTTCGTTCGCCTCGAGAGGTTGCTAGCATATTTTTATTTTCAAATCTAATAGTTTAGTAAAAGAATCTAGGAGCTAAAGTGAGTTGAGTGTTTTGTACAAGTTACGGCAAGAGAATGTCTCAAAACAAACCAAAATGGCTGACAGTATATGATGGATGACCTATAGACAAAACAAGATGAATTTTTTTTCACGTATACTATGTAAAAGGATAGTCTATGTGTATACCCTAGTCGACTTTCTTGCCCAAGATCTTGCTTTCTTGATGCAAGAAGTCTCTTTGATTTATGGTGACTATTCCTGCTTTTAGTTCTAGAATCCGCGCTTCATTGCACGTCTCGAGGCCATAGTAATCTTGTCACAATCTTGCCGCGCAATACCCAATTTGAATCGCGATCGCTATCGCGGACGCACATATTCGTCAATTTTTCGCGTTTCACGAAAAATTCACTGTTGTATCCGGAAACAGTTCGCGACAGGATCGCGATTGAGATGGTATCAAGATTGTAACGGAATTTGCTTGTTTCGCCGCACGATCGCTATTGAAATCGACTGTTTCACTAGTGATCGTGACAGGATCGTGTTTAAATTGCTTATATCGCGGCAAGATCTCCCCTTCACAGCAAACCATTTCAGGATGATGAACCTGTAATTGTGAGCACTGTTAGAAGCTTTAAAAGGTTCTCGAAACCTACTTTTCATAGTTACAACTCGTTTCCATTCTTTAACTAGAAGAGTGAGAAACATTTCTCAGAGACATGTGCTTATAAAAAGAGGAAGATAGTTCAAATACTGCCACACAAGAGCATAAAAATTTCGATGAATTCTTATGTAGGAATTTCTATATAGAAAGAGAATGAAAAACAAAAACTATTGATACAAATCTTTTAAAAAGAACGTTTTTCTTAAGGTAGTGAAGACACTGATTTCACCATGTTTTACCCGGTTTTCTCTTCGGGAACATAATGCAACCAAGTTGAATCCTTCACCTCAGACTCTCTTCGAAGTTGAGCTTAAAATAAGTACACAGCAATTTTATTTGTAAACACGCTCTCGCTTTCTATAATTCTTCTTAACTCGTCATAGAAATTGTGATAACGGTGTTTTGAACTTTAGAAAAAGTTTGATTGTTATTTCTAAAACAGCTTCAATCTTAGACTTCTCTAAGTTCTCTCATGTATTTCTCAATTATGGTTCGACATATAACTGGTATTTGATCTCAAAATAAA